GAATGCCACTCGGTACTGTCTGAGTACGTTCGGCCCTGACAGGGGCGGATGTGTTGATGCCTGTGAAGATCGTCCTGCTGGGCATATGTAGGTCTGCTAGCTCGAACTCGAAGTGTCTGTCGATAGCTCTGTCGCCGCCGACCAGAGCCAGAGCCGCTGCGTCCAGGACCGCGTAGCCTGGGGGCACCACCTGTACTGCCACCATCGTGTCGACTAACTCCTCGTTGATGTCAGTGATCGTCCTGTTCGGGTCATCGGGCTGGTTCGTAATAGGCATTATCATATATCACTCCTGCTGATGTCTAGCCCCGGTGCTAGCATAGCCGCTGCCAGACCAGTGCGACAGAAATCCTCCAGCTCGTCCTCGTCCAGCTCCTCGTCCTGATCCGTTCGGCATCTGATTGGCTGCCTTCCTCGTCTTGCTGCGCTCTGCTTCGCCAGCCCAGTGTCCTACTCCACGGCATGTGCTGCGCTTGCTTTGCTTCTGGAAGGCGCCGAGCTTATCTCGGAGCTCCTTGGTGCCGAAACTGATCTTGCCATCGAAGTCGATGTAGGTCTTGCCTCGTCGAAAACGTCCGTCTTGCCATCTTTGATGAGCTGTCGCTGCCGGCTGTAGTTCGATGACCTCGAACCTCTTTTGCCGCGTCCACGTCCTTTTGCCGCAGCTGCTCCGACGACCTTTTGCGCCTCTGCCGCAAACGTCTGCAATTTTTCCTTCCGATAGGTGTGCGAGTCCACAACTGCGAAAACCGTCTCGAGCTCGTGCGCTTCCGCCGACAATCGCCATCTCGTTGTCTTCACCCTCGTAGTCTTCTTCTCCGTGATCCCTCTCGGCTTCGTCATCCTCGGTCTCCTCCTCAAGATCTGCGCCGAAGACGGTGTTCCATCTGATACGTCGTCCTCCGCCATCGCGCCCGTGATCTCGGCTACCTCGAGCGTGGATACTGTCGAGCTGAATCTCGAGGATGTCGCATATCGCATCCCAATCATATTCATTCTGAGCCTGGCCCAGGAAGGTCTTGTGCTGAACCTCTGTGATACCACGCATGTCTAGTAGGAAAAAACGTTCTAAGATCCTCCGATTGTCCGTTTGCGAGGTCTCTCAGCTTCTCGTATGCGTCCGTCCGCCGATTGACAAAGTCCATATCGGCTCTCCTGGCTTCCGGTGTCCGCGTCTGAAATAATCTAGAAACGCCTTGTGATTATGCAGTGGGGCCGCTTTTTGAGGGCGCGCCGCTGGATGGCCCCGGGGGGGGGGTGGGGGTTGCCCCCCGCCCCCCCCCCCTTTCCCCGATCCGTCGTCGGGGAACGCCCCCCCTGCCCTTCTTCCCCGATCCGTCGTCGGGGACCCCCCCCCTTCCCGGCCCGTCGTCGGGGAGCCCCCCCCTTCCATGTCCAAAGGGGGGGGGTCCGACCCCCCACCTCCCCTCCTTTGGCCGCCAAATTCGACCCCCCCCCTCGCGCCCTTTCGCCGCGGCGCCCCTGGTCTCCGCAGCCCGACCCCTACCGCCCCGAACACTAGTCCCCACCCTCGCCGCATCCACTAACCCTAACCCCAAACCCAAACCCTAGCCCCAAACAGTATCACTACTCAGTGCGCACCACTCACTACCCACAACTCACTACTCGCTAATCACTACTCACTTCTCACTACTCACTTCTCACTACTCACGACCCACGACTCACTACCCACGACGCACTACACACTACTCCTTACTCCCTACCCACTACGCACTACTCACTACAAGTTACTCGCTACTCACTACCAACTACTCAATACTCACTACTCACTAAACACAACTCACTACCCACTACTCGCTAACCACAAATCACTACTCACTACCCACTAACCACTATCCACTACTCACACTTCACTGCTCACTACCCACTGCCCACAAGTCACTACTCACATACACTACTCGCTACTCGCTACTCCCTACAGAGTACTCACTACTCACTACTCGCTACTCCTTACGCCCTGCTCGCTACCCAATACGCTCTATTCACTACCCACTACTCACTACGCTCCCACTGCTCACTACCCACTACTTCCTACTCCCTACTCCCAACTCACTACTCACTACCCAGTACTCAATACTCACTACTCAGTAAACACTACACTGCCCACTACTCACTACTCACTAAGCACTGCTCCCTACCCACTAACCACTATCCACTACTTACTCCTGAGAACTCACACTTCCCTACTCACTACGCACTGCCCAGACCTCACTGCTCACTATCCGCTACTCGCTACCCCATAAGACAGATTCGCTACCCACTACGCACTACTCGCTACTCACTACTCACTACTCCCTACTCACTAGGCACGTCGCAAGTCGCTACTTACTACTCACTACTCACGACTCACTACCCACTGACTTTTACTCGCTACTCCCTAATCGCTAACGACTACTCAATACCCACTTCTCGCTTCTCAATACGCACTACTCACTCCTCACTACTCCCTACTCACTACGCACAACTCACTACTCACTACTCGCTGCTCCCTATCCGCTACGCAATACTCCCTAGTCACTACTCACTACTGACTCCTGACGACTCCCTCCTCACTACTCACTACTCACAACGCCCTACTCGCTGCTCGCTTCTCGCAACTCGCTACTCCCTACTCGCTACTCCCTACTCGCTACTCGCTACTCACCACTCACTCCTCACTACTTTCTACTCACTGCCCACTATTCACTACTCACTACTCACTCCACGCTATTCGCTACTGTCTACTCCCTCATCCCTACTCCCTGCTTACTACTCACTATGCACTACGCGCTACACACTACTAGCTACTCACAATTCCTTACCCACTACTTCCTTCCCATTACTCACTACCCACTACTCACTACTCACTACTCACTAATACCTACGCGCTACTCACTAGTACCACTACCCATTACCCACTACTCACTACCCACCAATCACGACTCACTGCGCACTACTCTCTATCAACTACCCACTACTCACCAATCGCTACTCGAAGCGGCCTACTCTCCCGATAGGCCCTCTCCCCAGCCTCCTGTTCGGCGCAAGGAGGGGGGGGGTCGAAACCCCGCCCCCTCCCTCCCAGCGCCCGGGGGGGGGGGGGGGGGCGGGTCGAACATCTCACCGCCCCTTTGAAGGGGGGGGGGGGGGTTCTGCGAGCGCGCACCCCCTTTAGTATATTCAGGACCATCCACTGGCGCGCTTCCCGGCTTCCTCCGCGTGTGAGCGCGCATGATGAGTGTGTTGGGTGTCTGCCCGACATCCGCTTCTTTCTCCGTCGGGGTGCTCCCCGTTGAAAAACTGCTCGGCTAGGGCCGCGACGCTGATCTCATTGTCCTCGTGGCAACGTCCACGCTCTCCCGCCGAGTCCAGTCTTGACATTGGCGATGAAACCCTTCCTTTTTCTCGGCGCTCTGCGTGCCCGGGAATCCGAGCCGCGCTCCCTCGCCCCACTCTCCTGCTGCTGCCGCGCCCCCATCAAAACGCGGAATGCCATGTTTATTAAACCGCGCGTGTGATCGTGGATTTCGATCGTTCGCCATCGTGATATCTGAACTGCACTTTATAAAGTCTGACCTGCTTTCGAGGAAGCCGGAGCTGCTCTGGGGCATGCCTGAGCTGCTCTCGAGGAAACTGCTCTCGAGGAAGTCTGAGCTGCTCTCGTGGAAATCGCGCTGCTGCGTGCGCTTGAAATCGCGCGCGCGATCGCAAGATGCACTCTCGCCCCCAAAATAATTCTTGCCTGTCCGCAAAGACCAGGCCTTGACAACAATAAGGGACAAGACGAACCAACTCAGCATTGCCCGTCGATCGCTGTCTGCTCCGCTACCGCTGTCAAGGATGTCGGAGATTGGCCAGTCTTGATTCTCCTTCCGCGCGTGAGATCCGCGGAATCGAGCAGTGTGAAAGCGATCGTCTGCAAGACCAATCAAATGCAGCAAATAGAAGTCAGGGAAACCCCAGTCAGTGGCTGGTACACATGTGATAACTTGTTATCGCTGATGGCTCAAAAAGAGGACCCCCTGATACAATTGAGACACATGGCCACAGCATAGATCATGCCATCTCTTCTCTCCAACTGCTTATCCACTGCGCTTCTCGCTGCGCAGATACGGGCGCAACGCGCCCATCTTCGCGCGACGGGGCCCAGCAGCGACCCCGAGAGGCTCCAAAACTGCCCCCAAGGGGCCTCGAAACTGCACCCAAGAGGCCCCCTGAAGGCCCCCCGCGAAATCCCAGCGAACATCCAATGGGCTTCGCACCCGAAGCCCAAGCATAGTGGCGGGATGGGCAGAAGGCCTTTCGATAGAGAGGAGTCCGAGTTGCGCGAGCGGCACGCGCATTCGGAACTCGGAACTCGGAACTCGGCCTGCGTCTTGCACCGCGGGGGTGCTGCAGGGCGGGGCCGAAGCGCCCCGAAATTACTGGCGTGTGAAACAGCGGCATCGCGTTGCTCCATGTGTATAACGCCTACAGTGGAACGACACTATACCGACTGACTGGCTGGATGAGGCACTGAAATACATCGAGCTACCAGTTCGCGGCAGCGCACACTACTCTCGAAGGCTTTCGTGCGGCGCTCTCCTCGCCCCCCCTGGGGGCGTCGCATCCGATGCTTCCGACCGGCTGTAAACAGCTGCAGAGAGTGCACCATAATGGGGAAGATCCTGTGTTGCGGAAGATACCAAAGGGGGTCGTGCAGCGCGCGCCCACGAGCGTAGTCATAGAGGGAGGAGGGTCTGAAGCCGAAGGTAGGGGGGGAACTCGTGCGCGAGGGTCAACCCCAGCCTGGGGATGCATGCATCTTGGGCGTCGGACTGGCAGGCGCCCGCTCGTGGGCCCAAGCATTTCCGAATCGGAGCTCTATGGCATCCTGTGGCGCAGTGAGCAGATAGCAGGTCTCATTGCGTCGGAGTTCCTCCAGTGCCCAGCGCCTTACCATGTGCCGCACCAAAAGCAGCCTGGGGTTACGAACAGTGCGATGCAACAGTAGCGGAGGCCATGGTCTCGGACACGATGCTCTCGGCGTTGGTCGCCGCCGCCGGCGTCCCAGGCATTGTTGTCGCCGGCGTCGCGCTGGTCATGTGCCGCGTAGTGCTCATGGTCGCGGTGTAAGTAGATGTGCTAGATGTGATAGTCGTGCGCGGCAGGCTCAAGACGTGCGCGGAGCACGAGGACAGGCCCGCGTCATCGTCGGACCAAGCCCCCACCACCGCGCGGGCCCCGTCGGAGCTCGCGGCCACCGACCGGCCGAATTCGTCCCCGATGGCCCCGTCGGCCGCCAGGAGCTTCGCCAGCTGCGCGCCAGTGGTCCCGTCGAAGACGTACGCGGAGCCAAAGTTGGGGCCTGCGACGTCATTGGCCAAAGGCCCAGAGTGGGCTCCCACCACCGCCAAAGACCCGTCGGAACTCATGGCCACCGACCAGCCGAACCGGTGATAGGAAGCCCCGTCGGCCGCCCACAGCTTCAGCAGTTGCGCGCCAGTGGTCCCGTCGAAGACGCACGCAGAGCCCGTGTGGGGGCCTGGCCCGGCGTCGGCGCGATAGGCACTCACCGCCGCGCGGGCCCCGTCGGAGCTGACGGCCACCGCCTGGCGCCGAAATGATCATCGTCGGCGGCGGCGGCCGGCCGTGGCTTCAGCAGCAACCAGTGGCCCCATCGAAGACGCACGCGGAGCCCGTGTCGTCGTTCCTGCTGGCTCCGGCCACCGCGCGGGCTCCATCAGAGCTCACGGCCGCCGGGAAGCCTAAACGGTCGTCGGCGGCCCCGTCGGGTGCCCGCAGCTTCAGCAGCTGGGCGCCAATGGCCCCGTCGAACACGTGCGCGCAGCTGGAAGCTCTGCCCGCGTCGTCGTCGTAATGAGCTCCCACCACCACACGGGCCCCGTCGGAGCTCACGGCCACCCAACTGCCGAAGCTGTCGTAAGGGCCCCCGTCAGCCGCCCACAACTTCAGCATCTGCGCGCCAGTGGTACCGTCGAACACGTATGCGGACCCAGTCCAGGTGCCCGGCCCGTCGTCGCCCCAGGCTCCTACCACCGCCAAGGCTCCGTCGGGGCCCACGGCCACCGACTTGCCGAAACCGTCGCCATTGGCCCCGTCGGCCGCCCACAACTTCAGCAACTGCGTGCCGGTGGCCCCGTCGAAGGCGCACGCGAAGCGGGTCCATGTTTCGTCCCAAGTTCCCACCACCGCACGGGCCCCGTCGGAGCCTACGGCCACCGATATTCCGGTGCGTTCGTAGGTGAAGCCGTCGGCCGCCCGCAGCTTCAGCAGCTGCGTTTCCTCGCGCCACCGCCACAAGCGCAGCGCATGTCCACCGCTGTGTAACCCGAATCGCTGCGGGAATTGTCTGAGCACCAGTCTGGGTGTGTAGGACACTCTTCACAACCGTCGCCAAAGAAATCGTCGGAGACGTCTTCAGCATTTGCGCAACCATACCGCTCATGACCCGTATCATGCTCCGCCGCGGGGTGAAGTCCACTGCCGCCCACTCGAGGCGCCATCTTTGTCCCGCGAGCCTGAACAAACTTGGCCCGCGATGGATTGAGCCGACGTGGCTACGGAAACAATCCTCATCGGCCATCTGGGGGCCCCTTTGTGCTGTCCTGGGTCCCTCGTGGGCCGCCTTGGGGCCCACTCTGGGCTGTCCTGGGCCGCCTGGAAGGCCTGTCTCGGGGTCCTCCTTGGACTCTTTGGCCTCTTTTTGGCTCCTCCGATGCCCTCTTGGACTCGTTTTGAGCCGCCAGGCCCGATGCGCCCAACAGATGAAGGCAACCCACGGGTTTTTGAAATATTTGCCTGTTCTGATGTGTGTCTCTTGGCAAAGGATCCCAGCGACCTCCGAGGCGGGCGCCCCTTCTGGGGGGGGGGGCAGGGGAGCAGGGGCCGCGGGGCGCGGGCTGGTCTCCTCGAGCCCCTCGGCGCGCCGCGCCTGCCAGGCCGCCCGCTCCGCGAGCTCCTGTGATGCTTGTTGGTTTCTTTTCTTGTTGTTTGTTTGTTGTATGGAAATTCGTATCTACGTGTATCTATATGCATATATGTATCTGTAGTATCAAGAGTCGTAGTAGTAGTAGTAGTAGTAGTAGTAGTAGTAGTAGTAGTAGTAGTAGTAGTAGTAGTAGTAGTAGTAGTAGTAGTAGTAGTAGTAGTAGTTAGTAGTAGTAGTAGTAGTAGTAGTAGTAGTAGTAGTAGTAGTAGTAGTAGTAGTAGTAGTAGTAGTAGTAGTAGTAGTAGTAGTAGTAGTAGTAGTAGTAGTAGTAGTAGTAGTAGTAGTAGTAGTAGTAGTAGTGTAGTAGTAGTAGTAGTAGTAGTAGTAGTAGTAGTAGTAGTAGTAGTAGTAGTAGTAGTAGTCGTAGTAGTAGTAGTAGTAGTAGTGGTAGTAGTAGTAGTAGTAGTAGTAGTTTCGTAGTAGTAGTTGTAGTAGCAGTAGTAGTAGTAGTAGTAGTAGTAGTAGAAGTAGTATTAGTAGTAGTAGTTAGTAGTAGTAGTAGTAGTAGTAGTAGTAGTAGTAGTAGTAGTAGTAGTCAGTAGTAGTAGTAGTAGTAGTAGTAGTAGTAGTAGTAGTAGTAGTGTAGTAGTAGTAGTAGTAGTAGTAGTAGTAGTAGTAGTAGTAGTAGTAGTAGTAATAGTAGTAGTAGTAGTAGTAGTAGTAGTAGTAGTAGTAGTAGTCGTGGCCCCATATGCATGCCCTTCGTGGCCCCGTTTCTGCCCTCAGCGGCCCCGTCGATGCCCCTGTCGCTGGAGTGACTGGCGCAAGCCATGGCGCAAGCTGAATCGCCACTCACAGCGCCAATCGTCGTCCTCCCTCCTTCTTGCCCCTCCCCTCACTTCCTCCGATCCCTTCGTCCTCATTCTCTCCCGTTATCTGTTACCCTTCGTCTTCAAGGGCTTCACCAACCACACGTGGCAGGGAATGAGTATACAACCCCCAAAAGGGGGTACGATAGAAGACGAAGAGGGCGGGTATCCAGGGTTTGGGATATGCATATTGAGTGACACGCGAACAGATAAGAGCGATCATTCTTAAACTGATTGTTCCCAACCATCCTGTGGTGTTGGGTCCTCGTTTTGAAGAGACGGTGCCCGCGTCCTCTCCTCCTCTTCCCCCTCCTCCCTCCTCCCCCTCCTTGCCTCTGCTCTCGGCACACCTCTCACGCGTTTCGTAGCCCCATAGGGAGCTCCACCGAAGGCCCCAGTGGGGGTGTCCACATGCGGTTCCCCCACCCAGGGCAGCGTTTCGTGCCCCATAGGGAGCTCCACCGAAGGCCCCAGTGGGGGTGTCCACATGCGGTTCCCCCACCCAGGGCAGCGTTCGTGGCCCCATAGGGAGCTCCACCGAAGGCCCCAGTGGGGGTGTCCACATGCGGTTCCCCCACCCAGGGCAGCGTTTCGTGGCACCCATAGGGAGCTCCACCGAAGGCCCCAGTGGGGGTGTCCACATGCGGTTCCCCCACCCAGGGCAGCGCTTTCGTGGCCCCATAGGGAGCTCCACCGAAGGCCCCAGTGGGGGTGTCCACATGCGGTTCCCCCACCCAGGGCAGCGTTTCGTAGCCCCAGAGGGAGCTCCACCGAAGGCCCCAGTGGGGGTGTCCACATGCGGTTCCCCCACCCAGGGCAGCGTTTCGTGGCCCCATAGGGAGCTCCACCGAAGGCCCCAGTGGGGGTGTCCACATGCGGTTCCCCCACCCAGGGCAGCGTTTCGTGGCCCCATAGGGAGCTCCACCGAAGGCCCCAGTGGGGGTGTCCACATGCGGTTCCCCCACCCAGGGCAGCGTTTCGTAGCCCCATAGGGAGCTCCACCGAAGGCCCCAGTGGGGGTGTTCGCATGCGGTTCCCCCACCCAGGGCAGCGGTTCGTGGCCCCATAGGGAGCTCCACCGAAGGCCCCAGTGGGGGTGTTCGCATGCGGTTCCCCCACCCAGGGCAGCGTTTCGTGGCCCCATAGGGAGCTCCACCGAGGGCCCCAGTGGGGGTGTTCGCATGCGGTTCCCCCACCCAGGGCAGCGTTTCGTAGCCCCATAGGGAGCTCCACCGATGGCCCCAGTGGGGGTGTTCGCATGCGGTTCCCCCACCCAGGGCAGCGTTTCGTGGCCCCATAGGGAGCTCCACCGAAGGCCCCAGTGGGGTTGTTCGCATGCGGTTCCCCCACCCAGGGCAGCGTTTCGTAGCCCCATAGGGAGCTCCACCGAAGGCCCCAGTGGGGGTGTTCGCATGCGGTTCCCCCACCAGGGCAGCGTTTCGTGGCCCCATAGGGAGCTCCACCGAAGGCCCCAGTGGGGGTGTTCGCATGCGGTTCCCCCACCCAGGGCAGCGTTTCGTAGCCCCATAGGGAGCTCCACCGAAGGCCCCAGTGGGGGTTTTCGCATGCGGTTCCCCACCCAGGGCAGCGCTTCGTGGCCCCATAGGGAGCTCCACCGAAGGCCCCAGTGGGGGTGTTCGCATGCGGTTCCCCCACCCAGGGCAGCGTTTCGTAGCCCCATAGGGAGCTCCACCGAAGGCCCCAGTGGGGGTGTTCGCATGCGGTTCCCCCACCCAGGGCAGCAGCGTTTCGTGGCCCCATAGGGAGCTCCACCGAAGGCCCCAGTGGGGGTGTTCGCATGCGGTTCCCCCACCCAGGGCAGCGTTTCGTAGCCCCATAGGGAGCTCCACCGTAGGCCCCAGTGGGGCTGCCCTCGTGCGGTTCCCCCACCCAGGGCAGCGTTTCGTAGCCCCAGAGGGAGCTCCACCGTAGGCCCCAGTGGGGGTGCCCGCATGCGGTTCCCCCACCAAGGGCAGCGTTTCGTGGCCCCACAGGGAGCTTCACCGAAGGCCCCAGAGGGGCTGCCTGCATGCGGTTCCCCCACCCAGGGCAGCGTTTCGTAGCCCCATAGGGAGCTCCACCGAAGGCCCCAGTGGGGGTGTTCGCATGCGTCTCCACTACCCAGAGGTAGCGCCGCCGAAAACGATATTCACACTTGCGGTATTCACAGTTGCATATGTTGGGTCCTTCGCCAGGCTAATTTTTT